AGCTGGCCAGCTTTCCTCCAGCTGGGGACGGGTCTAGCTGTTTGCTCCTGGAGACAGGGTCGTGCAGTGTGAAGCTAGATACTCCTCTCAGTCTGGTTATATACAGTGCTCGTGTGATGGGGTGGGAAGAACCTATCTAAGGATCTCTACTTTGGCAGAGACCTGTAAACCAAGGACACTAGTCATGGACAAACACGGAGTCATTCACCTTTTCCCTGAGCATGACTGGGTCAAATATTAACCACCTGGTGGACCAGACATACTTTTTAGCGATGATGATGTTTGCTAAGCATGGCCTTTTGTCCCTAAGCTGCCTCTTTCCTTGTGTGTGTGGTCCTTACCCCTGCTCAGGGTAGGACTGAGGTTTCACTGTACCATAGATCCCAAAATTTATTATCTCTGACGTTAAGGTCAACTTCAGGAACTACTTTGGAAGAAGTCTCAAGGAAGGAGTGAGCGACTGTGCTCCCGCCTCTTCAAGCCCCAGAAGTACATTTACAGCACCTTCTGGGCTCCTCTTCCCTCCATCCATCCACAGGAAACAAAATCTGGCTACTCAACCTCCTGTTCTTTAAAGCACAGTTGTAAAACCAGTTGTCTACATCTAAGCATTATGAGAACTATGTACAGAAGGTATTGTGTACATCTGCTCTGCTTATGAGGTAACGCCAAGAGTTAACAGGAGACTAGCCATGGGGGTCAGACTTCTAATACCCAGAAAGTACACAGTGAGGTAGTGAGGTAGTGAAGAAGTTAACTAGAATTGTTCTTACATATTTATCTTCAGGACTGGACAGACAGCTCAGTGGTTATGGGCACTGGCTACTCTTCAGAGGACTCAGGCTCAGTTCTCAGCACCCACATGGCAGTTCACAATGTGTGGTGACACCTTCATCTGGCCTCCCCAGGCATTGCATATGCCTGGTACATAGACGTACATTCAGACAAAATACCCATATGTAGAAGAAAAATAAATACATACAATTTTAAAAATTTATCTTGTATCTAGGGCGAGATTGCAATATTTTAGCTTTTTGCCAATTTCTAGATTTTGCTCCATCATTGTGTAGATATTTGTGTGTGATTTAAGCTGTACTAATTTCTAACCGCAAATATAGGGAGGAAAAAGACCTACAGGTTGTCAGTAGAGTTAGAGGTGGAGGCAGGAGAAAAGCATCTCTCGCTGTGGGAGAACCCTGTTGGGGATGTTTGAGGTGAGTCTGGGTCAGAACTAGAGCATCAGCTGACTCGCTCTAGCAGGAGGAAGAATACAGCACGTGAGTATCCTCGGACTCCCTCAGCAAGGCTGGTCTTCTGTATGGCAGGAACTGGGCTCCCTCAGGAAGCTGGAGCAGGAAAGATGCAAGCAGGTAGCCTTGGGGCACTGACTTGCAGGCGTCCTCACACCTGGACTTGGGAACACTTGGAGAAGACTACACTGATCTAGAGGACCACAGTATAGGCGGGGTGGATCTGGATTTACTTCCGGTTGGTGTAACTGAAGACGTGGGCTGTCAACATTCCTTTGAGTTAGTCAATCTCATTGTTTCTCCATTGGGTGTACCCTTTCCAGAGAAGAATATTTGCTTACTCATTTCTCTATTCTTAGTGACTGACACATAAGTCCTCATCAACTCATCTAGAGCCTTTAAGCACAAAACTTTCTAGGCTTTTCTTTAAAGGTTCCGAGATGCAAGATTTGGTAGCAATTATTAAAAAAACTAGAGTGAAAAGCAGAGCAATCTCTGTCTATGGGAGCTTGCTGATACTTCCCCTGGGGTCTGATGAGGTCATCCAAGTGTTGCAATGGACCTGAGAGGGAATGTTCTACTCTTGCCTGCAAAACGTTCTGAAATCAGCTGATTTGCCTTCACCAATGAGCTCTTGTTCTCGACCACAGTAAACTCTAGGAGCATAACCTCTGTAAAAAGCAAACCCTTAATCCCAGCAGTTGGGAGGCAGAGGCAGGTGGATCTCTGTGAGTCTGAAGTCAGCCTGGTCTACAGGGCTAGTTCTAGGACAGCCAGAGCTATGCAGAGAAATTCTATCTCAACAAACAAACAAACAAACAAGGCAAAAGCTGCCCAGAATGTGCAAGTCCCTATGGATACACTTCCTAAGAACAGGGCCTGACAGACTGAGAAGGAAGAGTGCATGGCTTGAAGACCTGGAAGGGGCACAAACCTCAACACTTTTCAGCTTTGTTGAGGCACAGCCCAGCTTGAAGGTCCCCTTTGCCCTTGTCCCCTCTCCCTCCCTCCTGCACTGTGAGCTGAAAGGAAATGAGGCTGGAGCTGTGAGCTGACCAAGCTGTTGCAGCATGACTCTGGGGTACTGGAGTCTCCTGAAAGGGAGGCCTAGTCACGTCCTGACCAGGTGTCCATTAGACAAGTGCCAAACTGTGCCCTGACAAATGCCAGCATTTAAACTGTTTCAGAAGTACAGAGAAGGATAGCACTTGGGACCTTCAGGGTGAGGCCTCTCTACTGCTATCCAACCTGACACTGAAGTGCTCAGTGTGCAAACAGACCATGTATGGTGGTGTCTCTTTTAAATTAATCACACATTACTTTTAAACAGATGTGGAAAGACTGAGTCCTAGAGCCATCAGCCACTCATTGTTAGGAGAGCAGCCAATCCATTGCAACACCCGGATGGCCTCATCAATCCCCAGGGGAAATATCAGCCAACTCCCAAAGCCAGAGATGATATATCAGTGTGGCCCTTTTCTGATAAACAACCACAGAACAGAGACACTTTACCCTTCCCGCAGCGCACACGCAGACACAAAACCCACAAGTCTGTCACACGAACTTGCTCAAAAACAGCAGGTTCCCTTTTTTAGAGCAATGTCTGAGTGCCGGAGAGCAGGCAGAGACTCTCAGCTGTCAGGACTCACCCCTGAAGTCACTGGCCCCTCATCTGACAACTCAGGGGATTTAGAACCTGCTCACATTCCTGACAAAAAGCCAGGGCTCTCCTCTCCTCCAACTTGGCACATATTGAAACAGAAATGAGTATTTTAAAAAAGTTTTGTATTTTATTAAGGTGCAAGGGAAAACAATGTGTGTGTGTGTGTGTGTCTGTCTGTCTGTCTGTCTGTCTGTGTTTTCCAGGGCTCAGACCCAGGACTTCACATATGATACATAGATTACCATTGAGCCACATCCCCAGGCCTGAATATTATATCTTTGTCAGTAATTTTAATTTATATAAAACAACTGCCAATTTAAAAAAAGTATTTATTAAAACTTTTAACCTCCTGACAGACATCCTCCTTTCCTGGAATTTATATCTGTCTTTTCTCCAAACCAGTAATATCCATGGATACAAGAGGCATGAAATTCTTCTTCTAATGATTCTAGTGTTGGCACATTTCCTCCTTTATACAGAGTTTGTTTGATTCCGTCCTTAGTGCTCATTATAAAGCAGACGGTATGGAGGCATTGTGAAAATTCCTTTACAGTGCTAACATACTACTCAATCAGTAACAGAATTAACAACTAAAAAAGGAAAGCTCACAGAAGGACCCCCTGAGGAGTGGGGAGGACCCCCTGAGGAGAAGGGATGCTGCTGGTTCAGGGAGAATGGGTACAAAGTCCTGATGACATCCGTACATTTCCAAACAAGATACAAATTAAACATTTACTTCCCAACACACTGGGCTCTGTCTTACTCGCTTGCAGCCACTCTGAAAATAACTGTTTACAGCGAGTGCTCTTTACTCAAATGTACATACAATGGGAAATCTCAAGAGATGCTTTACCAGCCTGCATTGGTACACTTTAATCTACTCTTGGAGTCACACTAATAATGCCTCCAGCAGACAACTCCACGGCGTTTGCGGGGTGTAGAAAGAACGAGGGAGAGAGGGAAGCTCACGCACCCTGAGAAGCTGAGCCATTCACTTTTTGTAACCAACCCTGGTTAAACTAAGCTTCAACTCCACATTATCTGAATCGTATTACTAAGGTCCCATCGCCCCATGCAATCAAAATGAGACGATCTCTCAACCTTCATTTTAAGGACAAAAAAAGGGACATTAATTGAGCAACGATCATTTGGTGTTCCTGTGACTGGAAGCTCTCCAATGCATGACACAACTTTTAGATCCCATCGGAATGATCTCTAGAAAAATCAAAACTCATATTTAAAGTAGTATTGAAAAATTACTTAGCACTGACTATTTCCATAAATCTCCCAAGCATCTGACCTCTCCCTATTATCATCATACTGTTTCTTGACTCTAAGCCGCTGCGACTAGCAACACTAACTGGCTCAGAGCTGGGTGGTGCTCGCTCTTTGAATAGCTGAGGCAGCTTTACTGAGTTGGCCAGAAACTGTTCAGACTGGTATGCTAACTGAGGTTTCTAACGATTGCATGTATGGACTGACTATAAGATTCCTGCCATCACAGATGGAAGAACCTGGCGCACTGGAGTTGTCCCAATATAAGGACAAGGTTTGTATCCTCCTTCCGAAACAAAGATCATCATCATTGCACTGGCATGGTTTGATGAGCTGTCTCAGACACAGAGAATCCCAACTGTCCAGAAAGAAGGCATAGAGGATGCTGCTGGCTCTTCTCCAAAAAGTTCCACAACACACTTAACGATGTGTTAAGGGAGAGAGAGACAGGAAATAGAAAACGAAAACACTACTTATGCTTGCATAACCTTGACAGACCTGCACCACAAATCTGATATAACCTAGGAACCCTCAAATTTTCTTTATCTGAGCGAATGCGGGCTTCTTGGAATTCTTCCTTTCGCAGATTCCACTGTCCCCTCTGAGCCCGGGTTCTAGACAATGGCCATCCACGCTGGACTCTGGCAAGATGTGGAAAATGAACTGTGGAAACCGTGTTGATCCCCACCACACCTCAGCCCCTCAGTCAGACCGGAGAAGTCGAGAAGTCGTCTCCCAGGAGCCCCACAACTGTCCTTAGTAGGAAGGGACTTCCATAGCCAAACCATGAAGGGACAGGAGTAGAAACCCACCTGGACGCGGAACTGGAGTCGGCGGCTTTGTTTCTCACTCCTTTCCTGGTGGGATGGCGAATGGAAGAAACGAAATTTCCTTTGGAATCTCGTCGCGGATATGGGTGAGGTCGGCGTTGCCCGGCCACGCAAACAGATTGGGGCGGGGTGCAGAGGAGTGGAAGGTGGGCGTTCCAGCCTCTGTGGGCTGGGACCGCTCCCCATTTCTTTCAAGGATGCCCCTCCCTATTAGGCCCGCCTGCAAAACCCAAAACATTAACCCCAATCTCCAAGCAGACAATGTGGATTTCTGTACAGAAATCGGACTGGTAAATGTCTCAGGGACCTCCATGCCTGCCACGGAGACCCTGGAAGGTTCTCCCTGGGGAGCTCCAAGAACCTAGGAAATCGGCGCTACCCTTTCTTTGTATAGTCATGTGATGCCGACCCCTTTAGTAGGATTGACAATTCACGAGAAAGTTAGTAGAATAGTGAACTTTTTCTCCATCAGTTACTAAAGACCGATGTAAAAAGTGCAGGGCTCGTCCGGGATTTGAACCCGGGACCTCTCGCACCCAAAGCGAGAATCATACCCCTAGACCAACGAGCCGTGATACAAACTTGCCTCTTACTGTTTGTTAGTCTAGCATGTTTTGACACAGCAGACTAGCAAGAGGCTCCAGCGGTTTCTTTTTCCCTTTTTCCTCTTACAGAGAAAATTTCTTTCATATTATTTAATTAACACTCCATTTTTGTCAAGTCCCACAAATTAATTCCAGACCTATCCCTTCTTATTCTCTATCCACGTCCGGGCAACTCAAGGCTCAGAATGGACTCAGAGGAGGCAGCTTTTTCAGATTTCAAGTCACAGGCCTGCCTGATTATTTATTCCAGAAGGAGCCGGGTGCGAGCCGGTTGGCGCTGCACTCTCCGGGCGGAGCCCAGCTGCGGGGCAGCGGAGTCCTGAGTCTCGGACAAGCGCAGGACGTGTTCCACAAACTTTGCGACCACCTCTGCAGCCACAAAATCTTACTGGCAGGCGGGCGGCACCACAAAATACTGGGGGCGGGAGGAGGCTGCGGGTAGCCAGTTAGGCTGGTGGCGGATAAGTTTACTCTTGTTCTGATATTCTGTCGACCTACGCAGTTTTCCTGAATAAGAATTGCGTTTTCAATCTTACTTCCCTTGTTTAAAGTAGTTCCTCCGCCTGGACTTTATAGTCTTCCAGCCTCGCCTCCAACTCAACGTCAAAAGCTACATAAAATACCTAAAGGAATAAAGTGTCTCTTTGCCAGTTAGTGGGGCAATCACCGGGGTCAGTTAGAGGTTGTGTTCGGCAAATCAGAGTCTGGCGGGCCATCAGAGAGCTAAAAAGCCATGTATACAAGCATGCCCACGAGGTCCTGTACCTTCCAGTCTTTGATGTCTGGACTTCGGACAATGGGCAGCAGAGTAGACTCAGAAACTAAAAGTAAACACTGAGACAGGCGTAAACCGAACTCCGAGATTCATTTCCCGTTCGATTAGACATAGGTTGCGATTGAGCAAAGCATATTTGACCATTGTCAGGAAGGAGAGATTGTTGTAAGGACACACTGTTGTAATCACACATTGAACGAAGGGTTAGAGTTTATCTCGGGGCTTGAGAGCCCAAAATACTGGCTACTCCTTCGAGCCGGAATCGAACCAGCGACCTAAGGATGGCTGCAACGAATTAACTACAGTCCTCCGCTCTACCAGCTGAGCTATCGAAGGGAAGCACGAACAGAGGTCTTCAGAAAGTGGTATTCAGTAGGTAAGAAGCCATCTAGCCCGCTAGGACCTGAGGATAGCGGTGCGTGTGCCGTGCCCCGCGTAAGAAGCTCCGGACACCCTGCCGGCGTGGCCGTCCTGTCCTCCAGACATAGCCAGAGCTCTGAGGATGCCTGCCGCCGAGTAGGTGCACGTATGCGGTGAAGGAGGCACCAGAGATCCGAGAACGAGCGCTCTGCACCCGGACCGCGCGATACTCTGCGGGTGGGATGGCGTGGGATGCCACGACAGCTAGGAAACCCACGGGCTGGAGGCGTGGCTCGGTGGGAGTGTGGTTAGCCTGCGTGAGATCCCAGGTTTAACCTCAGCACCTAGCAGTAAAGACGCTCTCCTTGGAGAAAGGCCATTCTTTTTACTGGGAGTCATAACCACAGCCACTTTGAGTTCATTCCATGGATTAGTGACCAAGGTCTCACGCCATCTGCTATAGTTTATCTCCTGCGCGAGACAGTGAAGTATCGGGATCCCCAGGCCTCCCGCTCCTGTACCCGGTCTGTGTGCGGACTTAGCCTCCCGGTACAGCACGCCGGGGCTAGTCCTCTTTCTTTCCCTCCCTGACCGGCTCTTTCAGGGGGTCAATCTTACGATCTCGGGAGCGGTGCGGTTGTCAGCAAATGCCTCACTTTCTCAGCGTGCAGAGAGCACAGCGGTGCGGGGTTAAACTGGAGCTCCGCGGCTGGAGTAAAAAGGAACCGCGCCTTGGGAAAATGCGACAGAGTGCTTTCTACGCTCAAAAGTCTAGATAGACTGAGGCCCCAGCGAGATTTGAACTCGCGACCCCTGGTTTACAAGACCAGTGCTCTAACCCCTGAGCTATAGGGCCACACAGGAGAGTACTTCTCTCTTTCTTAGAAAAGGATACGTTTGCTGGTTCTCTGGACACCTACCTGTAGAACAAAAAGAAAGCAAATCCAGATTATATTTTAGCCCATTTCTTATCAGTGTTGGAATTCAGTCTGAGCTTATTGGAATGGCATACTGGTGGATTCTGACAGGGATCACTGCTATCCTAAATTTGGAGAAATATGACTGCCCCCTCACCACCACCACTACCTGCCACTCTCTGGGCTGAAACTGATGCTCTCACATCTGTTTTTTGTCCTTGATTCCAGATTTTCGTCACACGCCTCTTAACAGATACCTTCCTCCCAGTGTCATAACAAGCAATTCCCAGTTCTCCATTTAATGCATTCCTTCACTCAAGAGGCTCCAAATGCTCCAAATGCATTTCTGTGCTAGGTTCTACACTAAAAACTAGATAGGGATTCAGTTTTTTTTTTTTAAATTGATTTACTTTGCTGACTAATTTAATTATTTTATTTTCTTCCCTCGGGTTTTGTATTTATTGGTTGATTGATTGATTGATTGATTGATTTTTTTTTAGGGGGGGTTACTTACTTACTTATTTTACTTACTTTTTGTGCACCACAAGGGTGCCTGGTGCCCGTGCCACAATTATTGTGTGTTGTTGGGAAGACACTCTCTGGTAAGAAAAATAACTACTTAACTTAACTACTTACTTACCTTAACTACTGAGCCAACTCTCCAGGATGGAGTTGGAATCTTTGATCTGAAGTCATTGTCATAGATTCGTGGGAGAGAGTTTTTCAATTTTATGAAACCGAAATGAAAAGCAAGTATAGACAATGTAACTTGCAACTAAACCATTTGGAGGCCCCTGAAAAAGGGTAGGCTAAGTCTTAGGATAGAGAAGATTGAGATTTGTACAATCCAGGTGCCAGACGACTCCTGGTAGATGAAAATGATGAGTAAAGTCCAAGAGATAGCAAAATGCTTAGGGGTATACCGTTAAAAAATGGTTGGTCCATCCTCCTCAAACTGGCAGAGATGAGACGGGATAGGAGACAGGAATGGCGTTAGACCCTTTTGAAAGAGAAAATGGAAATCCTCCATTCGTGGAATATAGAATTAACTGAAGGGAGGAGAAACTCGAGCCAGGAGCCCAGAGCCATGTAATCACAAAGCTGTAACGTCTGTGGGCTACAAAGGAAAGAATAAAAGACACAGGAAGCGGAGGGCTGCTACCTTTGAATGTGGGGGACAGAAAGGAGAGGTGACTCTCAACAGAAAGGAGAGGTGACTCTCAATCATACCTTGATACTGGTAGGGCAGAAAAAGGGAATTTTCATTTCTAGCAGTATGATGGTTTGTGTATGTTTGGCCCAGGGAGTGGCACTATTAGGAGGTATGACCCTGTTTGAGTAGGAGTGTCGCTGTGGGCGTGGGCTTTAATGCCCTTGTCCTATCTACCTGAAAGCCAGTATTTTCCTAGCAGCCTCCAGATGAAGATGTAGACCTCTCAGCTCCTCCTGCACCATGTCTGCCTGGACACTGTCATGCTCCCGTCTTGATGATAATGGACTGAACCTCTGAACCTGTAAATCAGCCCCAATTAAACGTAAACTCTTATAAGAGTTGCCTTAGTCATGATGTCTGTTCACAGCAGCAAAATCCTAACTAAGACATGCAGGGAGCACATTCAGGAAGTGTATAGTAGACAGAATATGGGTGTTTAGAGTCCATGAATCCAGGTCATGGTGAGATCATATTAAGTAAGTCTGGGAGTACAACTGCATGATAGAGCTCTTTCTTGAACTGCAAAGTCTTGGATTCAATTTCCAGTATTACAAAGATAAGTAAAACAAAATAATAAAATTTAAACAGGGAGTAGTAGCTTCTACTTGTAAATCTGGCTGTAGGGTCTTGCTCTAAGGATCTTGTGATCAAGGCCAGCCAAGGATATATACAGCAAGACACGGTCTCCATCAATCAGTAAGTAAAAACTTACTTTTTAATGGGTTACTTTCACTTTTTTAACTTGCATATTTTATGTGTGGATGTTTCGCCTACATGTATGTTTGTGTACCACTTGCATGCCTGGTGCTGGTGGAGGCCAGAAGAGGGAACCTGATTCCCCTGGAAATGAGCAGTGTGGGTGATGGGGTGCTGAGCCATGTCTCCAGGCCCTAAGTGCTTTTTAGGTGGGGTCGTTATGTAGTCCTGGCTGGCCTGGAACTCACAGAAATCTTCCTGCCTTTGCCTTTCCCCCATTACACCTGGCTCTACAATGAATTTTTTTCTTTTTAAAACCTTTATCTGCTTGTGTGTGTGTGGAGGGGGAGGGGCCATCGAATGTCACAGCCATAGCTGAACCATGGAGTCAGGGACCCTCTCACCATGTGAGTTCCGGGGATAAAAAGATGACGTACTACACTAAGCCATCTTGCCACCACCAACTCGATTTTTCTTTTATTATTTATTGTTGTTGTTGTGTTTGTCTCATATGTTTGTGGTATTCAGAGA